CGATGCGCACCCACTGCCCGGACTTGTAGTCAAAGTCCTGCGGCCGCTGGAACTGCAGGTGGGTGACACCTGTGGGCAGGTTGTTGGAGATGTTGAGGGGTTGATGCTCCTGCAGCGCTGCAGCCCCTGATGCTCTTGCAGGGAGCCTGGGCTGGGCTGGTGCTGGATGGGCAGGGATGTTGTGGTACCTGAGGGCAGGAGCTCGGCTTTCACCACACTGATCTCCACCTTCTTTCTGCTCAGGCTGTATAGCTTGTCTGCGCTGTAGATGAGGGCTGGGATGATGAAGTAGATGTGGAAACGGGGCTGCTGGATCAGTGCGTAGCTGCCATGGATGATGACCTGGGCAGGGAGCAGAACCCTTTAGCAAGGCGAGTCATCAGCCCAGGGATGATTTGGTGGCAGTTCAACAGCAATGGGGAGCCAGGAGTGGGGCTACCATCTCCCTTGGGACTACCCCAAGCTATTCCATCTCATCAGCTGCACTGAATTCACCTACAGGCTTGCAGTGCACGGGCACCGCCATCCCTCCCTTCCAGCCCCAACCCTTACCAGGATGTAGAGCAGCATGTAGAGGTGGTGAGTGATCCAAAATCCCTGGAAGCTGACGCGCCGGAAGTGGTGTGTGGCAAACACGTACATCACAGCAAGGACCACGAGCAGCAGCACTCCTGTCATGCCTGTGAGAGAAGAGTTAAGAGGGGCTCTGACTGGACTGGGCAGAGGGTGGCCCATCCTGGACACAGGTGTGCAGGTCTGTCTGCTAGGATAGACCTGGAATAGTTTGGAAGAACCACCTGGAATAGTTTGGAAGAATCACCAGTAATCCAGTAATAGTGGTTCTTCCAAACCACTAGTAATAGTCCTAATATTCCAGGACAGACCTGGAATAGTTTGGAAGAACCACCTAGAATAGTTTGGAAGAACCACCTATTCTCACCTGGAACAGTTTGGAAGAACCACCAGTAATACTTCTGTGGGAGCTGTGACCTGCAGAAGGACAAGAGATTGCACCATGGAGTGACCAGAATGAATGAATGGTTTCCATTTTCATTTCTGTCCATGCCCAGGACACCCTTGAATGGACTCTGCTTCAAATTCCACCTACCCATCATTTGTAAAGACAGTGGAGAAAAGGCAGGACAGCACACTGAGAGGTGTGACTGAGAAGATGTAGACGTTCACTACGTGGCCTGCAGTGTGGAGCACTGTAAGAGACAAAAACATAGAGAAAGAAACATCAGTTGATGTGGATGGAGATGTGTCAGACTCTGATGATGTCCCCTGGGACCTGGAGTGACTCGGAGGACTCCTTTTCTGTAGTGCAAGGCATCTATGTCTCTGCAAGGCCTTCTAGCTTCTGTCTCTGGTCCTGCCATGGGGTGATGGGCTGGTCCTGTGCTGGTGGGTGGCAATGCCCCAGCAGCCCACCCACCTGAGAAAATCAGGGCTGCCATGGCAATCCAGCGGTGGAAGTCAACGGCGGCGTCAAAGGGGATGTAGTGATTGAGGAAGGTCTCCCGCAGGACGGTGATGAGGTTGCGGCACATGGTGAGCAGGATGTAGGAGTACATGAAGGAGATGGAGGCAGCTGAACCCCGGGAGATGATGATCCCCACAAAGGTGGTCTGTGCAATTCCAGTGCTGGGGGATGCGAAGGCGTAGTCTGGGGAGAGAGAGCGGAGGGGGTGTTGTGTGCCCAGCACTGAGGGACATCACCCTCCCTGCAGCAAGGGGACAGCCACCTGCGTGGCTCCACCAAAAACAGGACACCAGGGGTGGGTTTGTGTGGGGAAAGGGGCACAACGACCCAGAACTGCTGGATGACAGGGTGTCCTTGGAGATCCAGGGAGGAGAATGTCCACCTGGTAATCTGCACATTGGGACTGTCACCTCAGATGGGGAATCCAATATAAGAAGTGTCCATAAACTGGAATAAGTCCAGTGGAGACCACCAGGATGGGTGGGGGCAACAGGACATCACAGAGCTATGTCTATGTAAGGGAAAGGCTGAGGGAAATGGTATAAGAGATGTCCATAAACTGGAATGAGTCCAGTGGAGACCACCAGGATGGGTGGGAGCTGCAGGACATCACAGAGCTATGTCTATGTAAGGGAAAGGCTGAGGGAAATGGGCTTGTTAGGCTGGAGGAGATGGGTCAGGGAAGCTGGCTGTCTGCAGCCATCTCATGGGCACACAGAGCAGACCAGACCCTTCCAGAGATCTCAGTCCAGGGGAGGACTGACTCTGTTGCCCACAGTTGTGCTGGGCAAGTCCCCATCAAGCTGTGCTGGGCAAGTCCCTTGGGTTGCCCCAGGACATCCACCAGCATTGAGGCAGGCAGCCCGTGCCCCTCAGCAGGGCAGGGTGGGCACTCACAGTAGGCTCTCTCAGCAAAGACACCAGCAGTGATGGCAGAGAAAAGGGTGACACAGACGATGTGGCGTCGGTAATTCTCAACGAAGCGCTTGAACTCCTGGATCTTCTGCTGGACTTTGTTCCTCTCGTACTTCTTCCGTCGCGCTTCCGTGTACAGACGCAGCTGGTACTGGTTTGCCCTGGCAAATGCAGGAGTGCTGGTGTCACCCTGAGGTTTTCCTGGCAGGGAATGGCTCAGGGCCCAGGTTTGGGATTCCTTTTTTCCCTGTCACATCAGTGACAGGGGAGACCTGCAGAGAACACACCATCTGAGGGTGATCTCAGGTCAGCCTGCTCTGCAATGCCTTCAAAAGCTGGTAGTAAATGTGGAGGCAATGACTCACAAATGAAACTGTAGATGAGAACTGTAAATTTCATAGTACTATTCAGCCATCAAAAAAATCTCTGGAGAAGGGGAACTTCCTTAATTGGTGCAATTAAGGCGATCCAAGATATTATGGCCAACAATAACAGCAGCTGAACTGCTGCCTTGAAACACTTGCTTCCAAGAAATACTTGCTGCTGCCACAGCAGGGAGGACAAATTCTCTCCTGCAGCTCTTGCAGGCAGCCCAGGTGAACCAGGAGGAGCACAGGTGGGAACTGTCAGACAAAACCCCTCTCTGAAAGCCACTATTCCAACCTCTGGAGTTGGCCACTTCATCTGTTTGAAGTTTTTTGGGTTTTTTTGTAGAGGCGCATTGCCCAGACTCAGCTATGGCACTGTCCTGCCAAGATGGGATTCTTTCTGTAGCTCCTTGGCCAATGAGTGAGTGCCTCCTTGGAGCAGTGACATTTGACTAGAGGGCTACCCAGTCTGACATGGAGGTGTGAGAAGCAGCAAACAGGACAAGCCCAAGCCCCAAAAGCACAGCTGGGGAGGGGACTCACTTTCTTCCTGGTCTCTTCCTCAGTTCTTGGCCTTTTCGCTCCATGTAGTGACTCACAGTGTCCAGGTTTGGGTCTGTTTTCTCCTCTGAGATGATTCTGTGGAAATAGAGCTGTGTCTAGCCCAGAGTTCTATTTGCTAGAAGTGCTTGCTGACATTTTCCCCTTTTCTCCACTTCCCATCTCAGGCTCAGCTGGGGACATGTCCAGCTCTTTCCTGCAAGCCTGCCTGCATTAACTCCACTTGCACATGGTCTGGATTCACTCCAAGATAACCCTTCCATCTGAAGGGCTATGCAGGACTCCCATCCCCGCACAGAGGGCCCTGCAGGAGGCAATTCCCCCTTCTGGCTGTGCCTGGGGAGGGGGATGGCAGCCCCCTGCAGCATGCACTTCCCACCCCTTCCCCAGCTCTGGGAGGTCCAACATCTGGTGGGAGCACTTGTTGGAAGGCTTGGGGTGGAGGACAGATGTGAGCCACCAGGAAGAGAAGGAATAGCCACAGTGCCACTAAGGAAGGGAGCTTACCCTTTTGGCTCGTTCTTTTTTATGAAGGAGACACAGTTGCGCAGATTTTGCTTGGAGACCTCAGGGATACCTTTGAGGAGACAAAATGACAAACAGCCATTCAGAAGGTGCAAGACAAAGTTTAGGAATCTCCTGTGGTCAGGGAAAAGCTGTGAACTGGTCCAAACACCACACATGAAGCAACAGCTGATGTGACCGTGTTCACAGGGGTTCTTGGATGAGGGAAGAGATGAGGATCTGACTCCGTGTTTCAGAAGGCTTGATTTATAATTTTATGATGTATATTATATTAAAAACTATACTAAAAGAATAGAAGAAAGGATTTCATCAGAAGGCTAGCTAAGAATAGAAAAAGAAGGAATGATAACAAAGGCTTGTGGCTCAGACTCTCTGTCTGAGCCAGCTGACTGTGATTGGCCATTAATTAGAAACAACCACACGAGACCAATCAAAGATCCCCCTATTGCATTCCACAGCAGCAGATAATCAATGTTTACATTCTGTTCCTGAGGCCTCTCAGCTTCTCAGGAGGAAAAATCTTAAAGAAAGGATTTTTCATAAAAGATGTCTGTGACAAGCTGAAGCCCCATTACTGCAGTTGGTGTGGGGATGCTGATGGGGCAGGATTTGAGAGGCAATGGTGGTGCCCATTGCCTGCAGCCTTGCAGGAGCTGGGCTGTGCCAGCGCCCACTGACCTCTGACGCAGAGCTGGGTGAGGCGCAGCTCGCTGTCGTGGTCCCGCAGCATGTAATGGAAATTCTCCCACGTCAGCTCCTCGCGGTCCTGGAAGCCCGAGGCCCGGAACATGGACTCGGTCACCTGCTCTGCCTGCTCACTTGACAGGCAGTTGTTGGAGATCTCAATGAAGGACCTGGAGCAAGGAGGAGAGATGGGAACACCGGCTGAGTCCCAGGCCAGTTTCATGGGAGAAATGGGCTCTTGGTTGCCCTTGTGCACAGAAACTGGGAGCTGCTGCCGAAGACATGTCTATAAACATTGTGAAAACAGTAGGAGAGAGGAAGGAGAGTACCTGAGCATCCTCAGAAACTCCTCCTTGGAGAGGAACCCATTCTCATCAGTGTCATACATCCTGAACATCACCTTGGACTTTTCCTCTGGGGACCCTGGTGGGGAGAGGAAGAGGCAAAGTTAGAAGAAGATCCAATCTTCATCAACAAAGATGATTTCATATGTTGTTTTTGAGTGTCTGGACCCTGCAGCAGTGGAGCCTCACCCTTCCACTTGACTTTCTCAAGTGCAAGGTAAATATTAGGTAGACACACATTCTTTCTTGTACATTATTTTTCAAAGTGTGCTTTTGCAGAGCAACGATTTTCCTGGGAATTGTTTTGATTGAATCTGACATTCAACACCTCCACCTGTTAATCCATCATTCCAGTGGTCATTTACAGAGAATCAGATATCAGACACAGTTGCCATGACCTCCCAGGCACAGGATGCACAGGATGTCCCTTTAGGAGAAAGGGCTGACATGTCTGTGGTGGTGGAAGACAGCTCCCCTCACGAACCATCTTCCAGAAAACACATTCACGTTGTCATGCCCCATGACCCAAGCTGAAGCTGTCCTGAGTGAAGGAAATTTTTAACTTATAGCAGTGTCCACAGGTTGACCTGCTGTGTGAATCATGTCCTCCACTCTGACAGAGCCCAGAAACAGGTCCAAGGGCAGCAGACAGGGGCATTAACCAGCTCCAGCTCCCACCTTTCATGAAGACCACCAAGATGTCCAGGAACTCCCGAAAGGAGATGTAGCCATTGCCGTCTTTGTCAGCCAGGGAGAACATGGACTCCACAAACATGGAGTGCTCCTTGAGCCCCAGGGCTTCAGCAAACTCAGCCCTGCTCAGCTCACAGGTGAGGGATTCCCTTGCCTTCTGTGAAGATTCAAAGCTGAGCTCCCCAGCATCAGATCTGTCGATTTCCAGCACCTGCAGGTTGTGTCCCACAAAAGAAATGCTGTGAGTGATGGCAGAGCAGAAGGCTGGTGTTTCCTTCCTGACCTATTGCACAAAGCCTGGTGGCTCCCTGGCACCAAACTCATGGCAGTTGCCATGGAGAACGTTCTGTGTCCCTCCTGCACAATGTGACTTGTCACACTCCATGTGGCTGACCACTCTGGAGAGCTGTTACATCACCCAAGAGTCTCTTTGCCACTTTAGACACATGCGTCACTGCAGGAGATGTCCCTTTGTCTTCTACAGAGGAAAATGTATTTACTGGAAGCATTGGCAGCTTCCTTGTGTATGATTTACGAGCTCTTCCCGAAAGCACCAGCCCTGATGTTCATGTTTAACCAATACAGAAATACCTTCCCCCATGCACCAGGGATTGCTACACCTCTACACACCTGAGCAAACAGGTGCCTGAAGAAAGTCTCTAGAATTTGTTTTCTCTGCTCCTGGGTGACTGCCCGTTTCATCAGGTTCTGCTCCCTCATCTCAGACAGATGCAGGTCAAAGCTGCTCTCCTTCAAGTAGTCTCTGAGCTTCCCAACAAAGATGCTCCTCTCGGCCTCCCCATTGAAGAGCAGCACCTGCAAAGGGCCCACGGACTGGCTGTGATCACCAGAGGCTCAGCTCCATGGTATTTGCTGGCCCTGGTGGTTCTCAGGAGGCCACAACCTCCCTCCAAGGCCTTACAGTGCTCCCAGTGCCCCCAGCTGGGTGGTGCAGAGGACTGTGGAGGGCCCAGGGCAAGGTGCCATCCCCCAGGCACCATGGCACTTACCAGATCATACTCCTTGGGGCTCTTCAGGAGCAGAGCTCTGTTGCCTCTGTTGTTGGAGAGAATCACCTCCACCCTTGGCTGGGCTTTCAGGTTGATGCTCCGCAGCACAGACCCTCTGCTGTCCAGCACTTTGAGCTCTTTGTCAGCTTGGAGCTGAATGTAGACAGGACAGCTGTCTGCCTTGGGCCCATGCCACTCCATGGCTGGTGGGAGAGAGCACAGGACTCAGCTGGAAAGGTTCCTGCTCGTCTCAGAACCTCCTGCACTGAGAGGCAGTTTGGGAGTGATTTTATGACCAGGAAGATCTCAAAGGAATAATGATATCTCCTAATCTCCTAACTGCACAGTTCAAGCACATGGGCACAGGAGGAGTCCAGGCTATGGAGAAGGGAGGCAGAGCAAGGAGATGCTGACCCTGTCCCGGAGCTACTGGTGCAATGGCTCTGCACAGGTTTCCTTCAGGCAAGGTGGGGCCTGGGGAGGATTGGAATAGGGGCACAGGATGACTCAGGTTGGAAGGGAATCTTGCCCAACCTCCTGCCCAGAGCAGGACCAGCCACAGGTCAGGCTGCTCAGTGCTGTATCTGGTCAGGCCTTGGGTAGGATGGGCTACCAAGCTCTCTGGGCTCCCTGTCCCACGCCTGACTCTGCTCCTGGGTAAACTGTTCCTCCTTACATCCCACGTGGGTACGAGCCCCAGGCCCAGCCCTGCCTCAGAGAGTGCCCTGGCTGCAGCAGCAGCAGCAGATGCCACTGCAGGGCTGGCAGTGCCACTCACCACACACGGCCTCGCCAGACACCTCCCTGCGCACGCTGGTGCCCTGCTTCCTCTGCAGCTTCTGGAAATCCCTCCTGCGCAGAGCAGCAACCACCCAGGCCACAAACAGAGTCACTGGGGACACAGGGGAGAAAGGGGCATGAGTGTCACAGACATCTTTTGTGAAAAATCCTTTCTTTAAGATTTTTCCCCCTCCTGAGAAGCCGCCAGGCCTCAGGAACAAAATGCAAACAATGATTATCTGCTGCTGTGGAATGCAACAGGTGCATCTGTGATTGGCCCATGTTGGATGTTTGTAATTAATGACCAATCACAGCCCAGCTGGCTTGGACAGAGAGTCTGAGACAGAGCTTTTGTTATCATTCTTTTCTATTCTATTCTTAGCCAGCCTTCTGATGAAATCTTTCCTTCTATTCTTTCAGTATAGTTTTAATGTAATATATATAATAAAATAATAAATCAAGCCCTCTAAAACATAAAGTCCAATTCTCGTCTCCTCCCCCATCCTCAGACCCCTGTGAACATGGTCACACATGAGAGATCACAGAGCTCCTTCCCCCCTTGGCTCCCTCCTGGTGCCCAAGGACCCTGCCAGCTCAAGCCCCCCAGCAGAGACCAGGACTCAGCAGCTCCTGCTGGGAGGTGCTCTGTGCATGGGCACTCAGCCCCTTTCTCTGGGGGAGAGGTGGAAGAGGAGGACAGTGACAGGAAGAGGGAACAGGATGACAAACCCAGGGGCAGGCAGCAGAGGACAACGATGATGATGCCGAAGCCCGCGCCGCTGCCTGCAAAGTAGTCCAGCACCATCATGGGCGTGCAGTTGGCCAGGAGTTGAGCTGTCAGCTGCTGGGGCTGGGGGCACGGGTCCCCTGCAAGGGGGAAAACAGGCTGTGAATGTGTGAATGTCACTGACCTTGTACCCAGCCCACCTGCATCCCCCCAGGAGCCTCTGCATGAAGATGTTGATGGGGACCATGGCTGAGTGACCCAGCAGTGCAGAATTGGGGGGCTTGATTTAAACTCCACCTCTTGGAGACAGCAGAATTGGGGTGCTTGATTTAAACTCCACCTCTTGGGGACAGACTTTGGGTTTGGGTTCAACTTTTGCCTGCCACAGCAAACCAAGCACAGAACTGGACTCAAGGGCTCTGCAAGTTCAGCACCATCCCCTCTCCTGTTGGGATGGGCTGAGCAAGACCCTGGGCCACAGCAATCTGGGGCTCAGAGCCTGCACTCATCTGGATGCTGCAGGAAGTCCTCCTGGTGGGACTACAAGGAACACACACCATGGGAATGAAAGCACCTTGCAAGGTCTGGAACGTTGCCCAAAGGTAATGCTTCCAGTAAATGGGAAGGTGTGGCAATATTCCAAGAGGGTGGGGTTGGTGGTGGTGGTACTATTTTGCCAAACAGTAATATGCATTTTTCCCTTGGGATCATGCCAGCCTGCACTACAGCCCTCCTTCAACATCTACACTGTGTATCAACATCTTGCTCACAAGCAACCCCTGCATTTTGTGCCCATTTTGCTGGTTTAGGGTCATAGCAGGTGTGAGGCTTGAGAAACTCCAAACCTGATGTGTTCCCTATGCCATTTACTCACCAGCTGTGTCACTGCTCTGTTCCCCTTTCTGCCTTGCAGGAGCCATTCCCTCCCTGTGCTACCCCACTGCAGGGTGCACTCACCCTGTCTCCACATGAACACGTGGGGCTGGAGGTCTGTGGGTTTGGCAGAGGTGACAGAAGTCAGCACGTCGTGGAAGGTGGTGTTACGGATCTCCCTGATCTCCTCCTCTGTGAACAGCCTGGGGAAAACGACATGGAGACAAGTGGTTGTCACAGAGCAGCAGCAGGAGGGAACTGAGGAAGCTGGAGGATGCTTTTTCCTCCAGTTTTCATGAGTTACTGGGGCTTACAGAGCAGCTCCCAGACAGGGACAAGGCCATTACCCATTCTTGGTGTTTTCGAACCAAAACCTGTCACCGTCACGCAGGCGCAGGAACTGTTCCAGGATGATGGTGGAGAAGAGGGAGCCATCAGCCTCCAGCATGCCTCCAGGGAGCAGCTCCAGCCCAGCCAGGTTGTTGCCATACAGGGCAGCAACTTTCCGCAGGACCTGGTGAGAAACCCCCAGCACACATCCGTGAGCACAGGGAGTTCTGCCAGGGCACCATAAAGTGTTGGCAAGCCTTGGGAGGTGTAAGGAATGTGCATTTCCCAGGCATCACACGCATCTGTGGGCTGGGAGGGGGCTGAGCCTCACACAGCCTGGAGCCCATGGCTTGACCTTGAGCAGCTGAGCATCACTCCCAGGGCACATCAGCTCTAGGAGGTGCAGAGTGCCTGTTGGCATGGGAGTGTAGCACTGGGACAGGATTGTTTATTCATGCCAGGAAATTACACAGTTACCCCCTGCAGGCATGAAAATCAGGACATGCACTGATTTCCCTCTTCCTATGAAGCTGCAGAATTCAGTTCCTGCCTGGAACAATCCATCCCCCTTTGGCCCACACACATTCCTTGCCCTGTTACCTGTGGCTCCAGGTGTGGGGCAAGGCTTGACCAGTTTTGGAGAGGTTCCAACCCAAAATGCTGCCGGGCTTGGTTGTAGGTGGGCAGGCCAAAGTCCCTCCCTCGCTGGATCCAGCTGGCCACGAAGTCAGTGCGGGAGTACTTCAAGGGTCCATACCAGAAATCTGTCGGGCACATGCTCTATGTGTTTCTAGCTCTCTGCACCTCCTTTAAAGAGGCTGAGCTGTGTGGCTGGGTGCTGATAAAGGAGGCAATGGCACGTGCTCCCCACCCTGCCCCAGCACAGCTGCAGTACAGACCTTGCAGATCCTCCACCACAATGTTGTCCTCCCGCTCTGCTATCTGGGAGCTCATCCCCAGCAGGAGCTCGTCCACATCCTCTGCCTTCTGTAGCCCAGGGCTCTGACAGGCATGGGAAGAGCAAATTATTCCTCTTGCACAAGGGAGGACAGAAAGCAGCCCCACAACCCTGAACTGGTGCCCCCAGGGGTGCAGGGGAATCAGGGACCCCTTCCAGGCTCATTTTCTCCACATCAGCTCAGCCTCGAGGTCTGAGCCTGACACAGCTGAAGGCTGGGGATGCTGGATGGGGAGGACCCCTCACCCCTGGTCTGGCTGTCATGCTCTGCACCCAATTTCCCTCACAGACCCCTGTGGAGTGCCCCATAACCCAGAGCAAGGGGTGAAGCCCCCTGGCCAGCCTGCCACATCCCCAGGGACCCCATGATCCCCACCCTGTACCTCTCTGCTCCAGTAGCTGTTGCAGAGCCTCACTGCTGGAAACGAGG